ATATACATTTTTTATCAGCTGTGTTTTGAAAATGTTTTTCTCCCAGTCTGTGACTTGTCTTTTCATTCTTTTAAGAGAAAATATAGAGATTTTTATTTGCATTGTTTCTTTCCATATCTTCAGTGTCTAGAACAGTGCCTAGTTTATAATAAATGATCAACAAATATTTATTAAATACTTACTGAGTGCCTAAAAATGGTATATATGCCTTAGGTATAGCTAATACTTGATTATGTAATAAAAACTAAAGAGCCTCCCCAGTTGGAGGACTATTTCATCTTTACACAGAATTAATGCTGTCCTTAACCAAAAGTTCTGAATATCTTTTTTTTTTTGATGCAGAGCCTCAAGCTGTTGCCCTGGGTAGAGTACTGTGGCAACACAGCTCATAGCAACCTCCGACTCCTGGGCTTAAGTGATTCTTTTGCCTCAGCCTCCCAAGTAGCTAGGACTACAGGCACCTGCCTTATGCCCGGCTAATTTTTGGTTGTAGTTGTCATTGTTGTTTGGTGGGCCTGGGTTGGATTTGAACCCACCAGATCTGGTGTATGTGGCTGGTGCCTTAGCCGCTTGAGCTACAGGTGCCAAGCCGGAACTTCTGATTATCTTAAAATGCTTGTAAGACTTAGGAACTTCCTTTGAAACTGGAGGCAGACTTAAAATAATCTAATTATTTTACAGCTGGTGACCTTGAGTTCTCTTCACAAGACCCTAGTCACTGATGTCCCAATCACCTCTTGGGGCCCTAAGGAATGATATAAATGCTTATGTCTCTGAGACATAGCCTTCAACATTTTCTTTTAATGTTAAATGATGAAATATTCAAATATAGAAAAGTACAAAAACTCAGACATCCATATCTTCACTTACCATAATGAACCAATTTTAACATTTTCCCACATTTGTTTTAACTTTCCCCTCTTTCTCTCAGGGTAAGTAGTAGAGAAATGGCTGTAGCCTCAGAGACCCTGTGCTGACCTCTCTCTCCCTGCTTAGCAGCACCCATGTGGGTGAATTGATGTATCCTTCTTATACACTTGCTTGTAATTTTAGTGTGTGTTATGTATACGTAACCAATGTACGATTTTTGGGGTGTTAATAAACAATGCAAATGTTACACCACACACTAATCAGATTATTCGGTGATGACAGACACTGCAATGTTACCACCAGATCTTCAGAACAAGGCACTTGTTCCCCCGTTGGGAGGTGCTGGCTTACAGTAGTTTACAGTCGAAGCCTTCACTGAGAATTCCCTTTGGCCAAAGGCCTTGCCCAAAGTCTCACCCTCTCCCTACAAGCATCAGCTGACTATTGGCTGGAGGAAGGGGCCAGTAGAAAGACCTGGAATTCTTGCCTAATCTCAAGGGGATTCTAAAGGGAGGGCCCTGCTTCAGAGCCACCCAGGGAATTAACTGAAAGCTCTGCTGCAACTGCATTGGGGTTCACGTCTCCCTCTGCCAGCCTTGCTCCCCTCACTCCTTACAAGTATGGGTCCTGAGGGTGCTCCCCTATAACCCTCTATGTGCATCTTGTGCTGGGAGCATCTGCTTCCCAGGGAACTTGAGCAGTGGCTTCTTCAACTTTGCTTTTGATATAGATCATATTCTAAAGGCTTAACCATACTGGTGAGTGTCCAGACCACTTATTCTAAATGATACACGGTCTTCTATGGTAAACCATACTTTATCTATCTATTCACACATGGAGTTAAGATGTTAGTTCTTTTATGCAGTTACAGAAATGGTACAAAGAATTCCTAAGTGTGTGTCTGTTTCACACATCCTGGCAAGATTCCCAAGGAGCTAGAAGTGGAACAGCCTAGACTGCAGTTATATGTACCATCAACTTTATTAAGTGGTGCTAAATTGTTTTCTAAAATGATTACAACAATTTATTCATTCACTCTCTGACCAATGATTTTTAAGAGCTTCCACAGCCTTGACAGCATTCTCAGGTCTCAGATTAAAATGTTTTCCTTGCCAGGGCAATGAGTGGCATATCAATGGAGTCTGAGATGGATTAGCCACTTTTTACTTGTTTTTGGCTATTCAAGCCACTTCTATAAATTGCCTATTCACATTCTTTGCCCATTTTTAAAAAATTGGGCATCGCTTCATTGGAATTCTTTCTATGCTAATGATCATCTGCTGCATGCTATGCAAGTATTGTAGTTTGTACCTTGTTTTTTCACTTAATTATTTTACTTATTGTGCAGACATATTTATTTTAATTTTAAGATTTTAAAATGTATTCCTTTTTGTGGTTTGTATGTTTCAATCTTATTTAATCATTTTCCTACTCCAATGTTATGAAGATATTATGTTCTGTTTTCTTCCAAACTTTTCTCTAAAGTTGCTCTTTCACATTGAGGCCTTTTATCTATTGCAGTAGCCAATCTGCCAGGACCGCTAATGTGTAATGCAGCTGCTGTCATGTGCCAAGCGTCTCTGTGTGTGTCATTACATTGCTAGACTTGTTCCTCACTCCTGTCCTCAAGTCTCACTTTATGTCTAGTGATGGTCTTATTGTTTTCATTTAGGAGTTGAGATGAAATAGACTTTCAGAGAATTGAAGCCTGAGAAATCAACTAGACCTCACTGAATTACTGAAGGATATATTCATACTTAAGGAAGAAGAGCATTGAAAGTGGATGGAAGAACGGGGATGCAAGGAACAATGAGTAACAAATTTGGCAAATATTCAAGTAAAACAAAAGAAGCATTCACTATATAGGTCAATAATCATAATACATGTTGTCATTTTAAGGTTTATTAACAGCCAATCTCTTAACTACATCATGATAGACAAGGAAGGGGAAGGAGAAAATTAAAGAAAAAGCAGAAGGTAAATAAGTAGAGAATAGAGAATTTTGAAAAAAACTTGTGCTGATTGATATACAGTTTTGGTATTTTTATCCTTTTCCAGTATTCTAATTAATTAAAGAATTAGCAAATGTATGCTGTTAAGAAGTTGCAGAAATTTTCAATTTGGGATAAAGTATCTCACAAAGGTTACTTTAAGCTTTAGAAAATGAATAAAATTAATAGCTCAAAATGGAAGTAACCCACGTGTCCACTAACAGATAAATGGATAAGTACAGTATATCCAACAATGGAATGTTACTCAGCCTTAAAAAGAAATTATGGCACATACTGTGACAGGGAAGGACTTTGCAGACATTATGCAAAGTAAAACTAGCCAGTCACCAAAAGGCAAATATTGTAGGGTCATTTATGGGAGGTGACAGAGTAGCCAAATTCATGGAGACAGAAAGTAGAAAGGTGGTTGCTGAGGGCTCAGGGGCGGGGGGGAGGGAAATTGTTATTTAATGAGTGCAGAGTTTCAGTTGCAAAAGATAAAAATGTTCTGGAAATGGATGGTGGTGACTGTCATACAACAATGTGAAAGAACTTAATGCCTCTAAACTGTGTAATTAAAAAGAGTTAAGGTGCAATAATAATAATAAAAAAACAGTTAAGGTGAACCAAGTGTGTTGTCTCATACCTTTAATCCTAGTACTTTGGGAGGCTGGAGGATCGCCTTAGACAGGGAGTCTGAGATTAGTCTGAGTCACACAGTGAGACTCTGTCTCTACAAAAAAAGAAAAAAAAAAATTAGCCAGCAGTGTTGGCACCTGTAGTCCCAGCTACTCAGGATGCTGGGGATGGAGGATAGCTTGAGCCCGGTAGTTTGAGATTGCTGTGAGCTGTGAGGATGCCACCGTATTCCAGCCTGGGCAACAGAGCAAGACCCTCACTCAAAAAAAGGGTTAAGTTTAATGTTATGTGTATTTTAACTTCAAAAATAACTTTAAATAGTGAGAAAAATTATCCTTGCGTCTGTTTTATAATGTTCATTGGTGGAAGCACCTCTAAGCCTCCGAGATGGGAGTCAGTTACTTTGTCAGGGCTCTGAGACACCAAGTCCTACAGCTCCACAGCCAACTGGTCCCTACTCAGGGAGTCCATTTTCCTAATTACTCCAGAATATATGCCCCTCCATAGTAGCACCACAAGTCTTAAGTCAGGCTCTCTTCATTTCTTCATTTGATTAATGCAATAAAATCCTAAGCAGTCTTCCTTTTGCCATCTATGCTCCATAATGAAAGCTCAGTGATTGTCCAAAAGCATGAATCTGTTAAAACGGGGGTGGGGGCGGGGTGTGGAGAGGAGGAGCTGGTGGTTAACAGTGTGAAATGAATTAGACTCATCCAGGAGGAAATGCAGCCTGAAAAGCAGCTCATGATCAGTGTCTTGCCGTTACTACAGCTGTAAGACAGAAGCCAGATGACAAGGAAAAGAAAGCGATGGTCTGTTTTCCTGGAATTATCTGCTCTTTTGTTCGCCTGGCAGATGTTGAGTCTGTACAGACTTATGCAATGACGTCATCTTCACAAAGGCTCTGCAGCATCTTCATGCAAAGTCCAGAGCTTTCCTTACCTGGAGGGCCTTATTCTCACTTTTGCTATGGAATTCATTACATTCCTCTAATTATTTGTATTCATCACTTTCTGTCACGAGGCTGTGAGCCCATGGGGAAAGACGCTACAGTTTTCTACTTATCTTTGTTATCTCCAGTTCCCAGCATTATGTGAAAAATGAATGAGTGGAGTTGAAAGTATCGATAGCTGTGTAGTGATACATGCATTAATCTCCTCAATTCTTCCCCATCCAGAGGAAACCCACTTTTTCAGAGTCTATCAAGACTCTGTCTCCCTACCTACTCATAGGCACAGGGCTACTAGGCATCAATGTGATGCCCACTCATAAATTCCATCATATACTTATGGGTCTACAAATAGCTCCATACCAGAGTCATATTGTACCAGGAGACCATGCAGACACCCTCAGCCACCAGCTGGAAGAGGAAGTGGCTTTATTCACCAGCCAGGAGACTCGGCTGACTAGCACCCCCAAAGCTGAGCCCTGTGCCTCAATTTCTGGCCTTCCTTTTATGCAATTTTAGGTGTTGGGTGCACATGAAAGTATTATGACTCAGGGAAAGTCAGGCCAGCATATGCCCATGGTACATGGCTGCCCTTCCTCAAAGACAACAGAAGGTCAAGGAAGTGACAAGGTTACTGTATGGGTTCAACATGCATTGTCCCAAGGGCATGTAGATAAGAGGAACATCTACTGCAGTGGGGGTTATAATCCCCACCCCACTCCATATATATCACAGACTGCGTGGCTAATGCCTGCACAGAGTTACTGTGGTAGAGTTTAGTTCTGCTTCATTCCCCTGCCTCAATATTTAGCAGGAAACACACAGGCAGCTACCAGTTCTGCCTGTAGCCAGTCATGGACCAACACATTTTGAACATAACCTGTAATTTCTTCTGGAGAGTGTAATATAATGCTAAGGTTCCCAGATTTGTTTTTTTTAAAAGGGTAAATAAACTATGGCTCTCAAGCTAATCTAGTCTGCCATCTGTTTTTGTAAATAAAGTTTTATTGGAACACAGCTATACTAATTTTTTTATCTACTATCCATGGCCTCTCTTACACTGTAAGAGCAGGGTTGAGTAGTTGTGACTATCTCATCTGCAAAGCTTTATCTATTTATAATCTGAAACTTTAGAGAAAGTATGCCGACCCTTGCTAAGTTAATAAGCTGAAACTATGCAGACAAACAAGAGTTCATGTCTTATGGTATGCTAGGAGATTAGTACAATCCCTTGATTTAAACTGTTAATATGAGGGAGGGAGCAAGATGGTGACTGAGTAACAGCTTCTTTGCAACTGGGTGCTGTGAGATTAGGGAGAGAAGACTCCAGACATCTCTGGCTTGTGGGCTCTGCTCAGAAACATCCCTTTGGGGATGCAGGGAGACAGAGAGACTTCTGGTCCCCAGGAGGAGGACAAAAGCAGTGGAGAACTGGCAAGTGGTTGTGTCCATTTGGTCTGAGGCCGTCACTTTGTGGCTGAAACTACAACAGCAGTGAG